AAATCTTGGGTGGAATTCCAGTCCCATTTTTGCCTGGACTGATAATTTTGTGGGCCCAAAATCTGCTTTTTTTATTATTATTTTTCTGACTGAAGTCCATGTGCTACACAATGTTTGCTGGGCCCAGTTTTGGTTACACTGTTTGGGCAGCAACTTTGTGCCAAAAATCTGATATTGCTGGTTTGTTTGTTTTTTTTTTTTTTTGGGTTTGGTTTTATTTTAAATATTCCAACAACTATATTTGTAATCAATAATCATGATTAATTTTAAGCAATCTCAACGGCAAAATTTAATGATTGTCGTTTATTTAAAAATGCTTAGATAATTTAAACACACTTACATAATTCAATGAAGAGTTCGAATTATTCCGAGCATACGTATAGTATTGTACTTATTTTTATTTTTTAAGTGAAATTCAATTATGTTTTGGAATTTTATTTTTTTTAGGTTAAAATGTTTAGAAAATTAAATCACGAGTGTTGAAACAAAAATAATGTCAAGAAAAATTAACAAGAAACAAAATTTAGGGGTTAATCATTCTTAAACAATTTAATAAAGTTGCGGACTCAAATTATGAGTCTACAAGGTTGGAGGAAAAAAAAATTTGAGTCCTGAAAATACATGAATAGTTGTATTTTGGAGGGTGAAAATTTGAGTTTAGCCCCAACATGGTTGGAGATGGTCTAACTACTCGTTTGAACCCACTTTACACTGACATCTCATGATCAGAATCATTCATGTTTTATGTCCTCATTCAAGGAACATCTTTGCAAAAATTAGCCAAAGAAAAAAATCGGACTATTTGACTATTATCGTGACTATTTTAATTGTTTGCAAGAAATATGAAAAATCACTTGTTTATTTGAACACATTTAGATGATTAAATTTTGTTTAATTTGGCTAATTTTTTGCAAGAGTGATTCTTTAATGTTATCCTAAAGAAAGAAATGATCTTGATCATGAGATGATGTCTTAGAGTGGGTCTAAATGAGTGGTTAGCGTCATATAAATTCACTAATCAATTAGCGCTACAGCGTCTCTCAACCGATAAATAAGTAGCATTTATCTTGTATTCTTTTTTCACTTGTATTTCTTTTTTCAATTGGAACACGTAAAGAGATCAAACGTGTTTGATTAGCCCAACTTCACTCACCTTCAAACCCCAAAATCAAAATTTGGAAATTGGTATTGTATTTGGACACCATTGTGTGGAAGCATCCACAACCCTCTGGATTCGTCCAAATAAAAATAAAAAAATCCACAACCCTCTGGACAAAACCCAAAAAGAGGAGGCTGCTTATATCAATTTCTCCAGAACTCTCTGGTTGCTTCTTTCTTCTTCTACTCACCTCTCCAAATTTCTTTCCACCGCCTTCATAGACCAATGTCTATATATACACTTTCATATCACATCCAAAGACCAACAAGCAATCAATCAACAACAGAAAAGTGCACACAACATAACCTTAAAAAAATCTCAAACCATCCCTATTCTTGAGCTCTTTCAATTTCTGTTTCATTCATATAGTTTCTTGCTGAGTTTTGTCATCTATGGCTTCAAAGACAGAAGGCAAGGCCATTGGCATCGACCTCGGCACCACCTACAGCTGCGTGGGAGTGTGGCAAAACGACCGCGTTGAGATCATAGCCAATGACCAAGGCAACAGAACCACCCCTTCCTATGTTGCTTTCACTGATACAGAGCGTTTGATCGGCGATGCAGCCAAAAACCAGGTTGCCATGAACCCCCAAAACACCGTTTTCGACGCCAAGAGGCTCATCGGCCGGCGATTCTCCGACCCATCTGTCCAGAGCGACATGAAGCACTGGCCTTTCAAGGTCGTTCCCGGTCCTGGGGACAAACCCATGATTGTCGTTCAATACAAAGGCGAAGAGAAGCAGTTTGCAGCCGAAGAGATATCGTCCATGGTGCTGACCAAGATGAGGGAAATTGCTGAGGCTTATTTGGGTCAGTCAGTCAACAACGCTGTGGTCACTGTGCCTGCTTACTTCAACTGTGCCTGCTTACTTCAATGACTCGCAGAGGCAGGCTACGAAGGACGCGGGCGTCATTGCTGGCCTGAATGTGATGAGAATTATCAACGAGCCAACTGCTGCTGCCATTGCTTATGGTCTTGACAAGAAAGGGTCGAGGGCTGGCGAGAAGAATATTCTTATTTTTGATCTTGGTGGTGGCACTTTTGATGTTTCTTTGCTCACAATTGAGGAAGGGATCTTTGAAGTGAAGGCCACTGCTGGGGACACTCATCTTGGTGGTGAGGATTTTGACAATAGGCTTGTTAATCACTTTGTGCAAGAGTTCAAGAGAAAGCACAAGAAGGATATTAGTGGCAATGCCAGAGCTTTGAGGAGGTTGAGGACTGCGTGTGAGAGGGCGAAAAGGACTCTGTCTTCAACCGCACAGACCACAATTGAGATCGATTCGCTTTACGAAGGTATTGATTTCTATTCCACAATTACAAGAGCAAGATTTGAAGAGTTGAACATGGACTTGTTTAGGAAGTGTATGGAACCTGTGGAGAAGTGTTTGAGGGATTCAAAAGTCGATAAGAGTCGGGTGGATGAAGTTGTTCTGGTTGGTGGGTCGACGAGGATTCCTAAAGTTCAGCAGCTTTTGCAAGATTTCTTCAATGGCAAGGAATTGTGCAAGAGCATAAACCCTGATGAGGCTGTTGCTTATGGTGCTGCTGTTCAAGCTGCAATTTTGACTGGTGAAGGGAATGAGAAGGTTCAAGACTTGCTACTTCTTGATGTTACGCCTCTCAGCCTTGGTCTTGAGACTGCTGGTGGTGTCATGACTGTCTTGATTCCGAGGAACACCACTATACCTACCAAGAAGGAGCAGATCTTCTCTACTTACTCTGACAACCAGCCGGGAGTATTAATTCAGGTGTATGAAGGAGAGAGGGCTCGAACCAAGGACAACAATCTTCTTGGAAAATTCGAACTCACAGGCATTCCTCCGGCCCCAAGAGGTGTTCCTCAAATCAATGTGTGCTTTGACATTGATGCAAATGGCATCTTAAATGTGTCTGCTGAAGACAAGACTGCTGGAGTGAAGAACAAGATCACTATCACCAATGACAAGGGAAGGCTGAGCAAGGAGGAGATTGAGAGATTGGTGCAGGAGGCAGAGAGGTACAAGGCTGAAGATGAGGAGGTGAAGAAGAAGGTGGATGCCAAGAACTCGCTTGAGAACTACGCATACAACATGAGGAACACTGTAAAGGATGAGAAGATTGCTGGAAAACTGGACCCTGCAGACAAGCAGAAGATTGAGAAGGCCATTGATGAGGCGATTGAATGGCTTGACAGGAACCAGTTGGCTGAAGTTGAAGAATTTGAGGACAAACAAAAGGAACTGGAGGGCTTGTGCAATCCAATTATTGCTAAAATGTATCAAGGTGCTGGTGGTGATGTGCCAATGGGCGGTGCTCAGATGCCCGGTGGCGGATTTGGCAACGCTAGCTCTGACGGAGCAGGAGCTGGGCCTAAGATTGAAGAGGTAGACTAAGCTAGAATAGGTTTCTTTTTGGATGTTCTGCTTTTGAACTCTGCTCTTGTTCTACTGTTTTCTCTTGAGTGATGCTTGAATAATAGGTAGAGGTAGGAACCATGCGACGATGTGATGTATATTTCAGTGTTTTTGTGTAATTAAATAAAAAACTTTATTCTGTTCTTCATCTACAAATGTCATTCAAATCTCAGTGATTCTGTTTCAAAAGGAATTCATTCTAATTCTTCTCACTTGTAACTTCTATCAATCAAATCAAGTTTTAAGCTCCAAACAACTGTATAATCTTCTGTCAGCATTGTTTGCAAAATCGGGTTAAGGAATAAAAGATTTAAGACCTAACCACAAGAACACAAGGTAAAAAATTCAAATACAAAGCCAAAATCAATCAATAGCAAGCACCGGATAGACAAATCAATTTCAGAAGCAAGACCAAGCTGAAGCCAATCATCTATGTACTTCTAGAAACATAACAAATAGGTTTAACCTGAAAAGGGAACAACCATCAGGCAGAGGTAGGCTGCAACAAACTGGCAAAACTGGGATCTACGCAAGACACCAATGGAAAAATAATGGACCAACTGCAACATTAAGCCAAGAAACCAATCCGCATGCTACAATTCCAGAATTAGGCAAAACCATAATAGATACAATTGGCCCCTCAGTTGCTGTTAATTATGTCTACAGAAGTCAACAAAAATTAGGACAGAAATTTGAATCATTTCAAATGAATAAGGAAACTGATATTTCTTTAGTCAATTTATCAAATCAAACAGTTAGTTCTGCAGTCCAACTAGTATAACGAAATCTGCAGGTGGAGGATGAATTTTGGGAACAATGTTACAGAGGTCGCATGGTATTCTGGATTTGGTTCGAAGCAACAACCATCTGCATAGCCCAAAGATGAGCAATAGTAATTTCACATAAATGTCAAGGCTCCGTTACCATGTCCATAGGATCTCCTTCTAATAGTTTTGGTGCCCTGCAGTTGCATGATAAAAGTGTTTTTCAGCAGTTTAACCCTTCCCAAGGCCTCACAGCTAGGAAACCGTATCTGCCCGCATTTGAGACTTCAGCAGAGTTTGGGGAGTTGCATCACAAACCACGTACCTCAAAAATCGATAATAGACTGTAGTTCAAATCTTTAACAGAGTGCTCCAACGATGAGCACAATTATGAACCCATAATGAAGTCCAAAAGAATAACAAAAGATTTCTTTGTTCCATATCTAACTTATACAGTGAAGTCATAATCACACTCAATACACCAAACTACCACAGAAGGCTGATTCCAGTGTATAAGCTTTCCATCAAATTACACTCAATACACATCAAGATATGAAATAAAAACCAAACTGAACAACCATCAAAGTCTGATTCTTTAAAAGGAACGTATTGTCATATAGATGATTTGGGAATCTTATAATGAAGAGGAGAAATTAGAAAACGCAATGCCAGCATGCCTCTGTAGTCAATAAAATATAATGATCATCACTATTTCCAAACTCATAAAACATCCAAAGAAGTGGATAATTCTTTTCAAATCAAGTTACATCTATCAAAAACTGAATCTTATCCTAAAAACTCCAAACTCATTCAACAATGTGTGACACACTAGAATCCATAAGCCCAAATGAGAAGGGTGTGAAACTACCTATAATCAAATCCTCGTAGATGATGAATCAAAATCATCAGGAGCAACCCTGGCAATCCAGCTATTCAGTGTCCTCTTAATATCAGAATGATTAACGTAAGCCAACTCGTACATACTACACAAATTCACCACAACGGTTTCATTCAATTTTGATCGAATCTGACAGGTCCCGCAAGTACATCAAGCAAAGTGCCTTATTGTTGATGGCCACGATGTCGTTATGCTCCCTCTCAATGCACTCCTCATACTCCCTCACTGCAGACACATAGTCCTTCCCCACCATGTACACCAAGGCCTTGTTCCTACTTACTATGTTCTTAAACTCGTTGCTCGCCTCATCCTCATTCTCCACCAATCCTTGGACCACGTTGAAGGAGCTCTTAGCTCCTTCTAAGTCTCCCATTTGCATCTGAATGTAACCTAGTTTCGACACCAATACTGGATCTGTGTAATCACGGTTAAGCAAGTCATTGATCAAGCTCAAGCACACAGATACCTCCTTGTTGCTCAAATGGACCCCAATTATACCATTCATTACAAACACCTCCCTTCTCTTCCACACAGAGACACTCCCATTTTTTTGTGTTTCTTTTATTTTGCTCCGTACAAAATCTAACAAGCAGTAGAGCCGGTCCAGACCATCTTGTCGCTGGCCCAACTTGATGGGCATTAAGGCATAAAGCCACCGGAGGGAGAAGGGTACCATGGACCCAACCCGGTTTGGGTACACTTTTGGATACGACTCGTACTGGTAGCGAGAGCTGTCGAGGTCCTCTAAGGAATCGATCTCGGCAGCGGCTTCGGGGAACCTGCGTAGTTTAGTCAAGGCAAGCACGTTGTAGGTGAAATAAACGAGGTGGTCGTGGGGTTTGTGGAGGAGAGATTGGGCTCGAGCCCGGGCCACCTTGTCGAGGATGGAGCGCCATGAGCCGCGCGTGGCAAGGTCCTGGAGGGAGGCGAGCTCATGGGCCACGTCATTGAGGGAACCGAACTGGTCCGTCAATGGATCGTTGGAGAGGGTTAGGGTTTCCAGGTCAGTCGTTACGGTTTGGGGATCAGGTGTCTCGGTGGTTACGGTTTGGGAATCAGGTGTTTCGGTGGTTACGGTTTGGGGATGAGGTGTTTCGGTGGTTACGGTTTGGGAATCAGGTGTATCGGAATCCATACTTTTTACCCGTAGGATTTGATTGGAGTTCTAGGAAGGGACTGGTTTGTTGGCTTCCCTTGGAAATGGTATCCCCTGCATGTAAGGTTCAAATAAATCAATTAGGTAAGAAAAATCAGAAAATCATGCCCAAAAAACTCAGATCGAATGCCACAAACTCAGATTGAAAACCCACAAAATTCAAATTCAAGAAAATCCTAGCTGAATTGATAGAAGGGAATAGAGAATAAAGTGAGAGAAGCAAAGAGAGGAGAGAAACAAAAACAAAAAAAATTACCTGAGCTTTCAGCCTTCAGCTAATATGGGGGAGAAGAAGAGCTTTAGCTACCTGCCCTGAACCAGAACCAGAACGAACGCTGAAGAAGAACGCTTGCCAGCTCAAGACGACGTCGTTAGTTTAGGTTGGTGGTGGTGGGCATTGCTAAGTTTTTTTTTTTTTTTTTTTGAGATTTTCTATTTAAACCCCACACTTCTCTTAGTTCACCCCATGTTCTAAATTCACCCCAACTTTTAATTTAAATTTTCACAATTTCTAAGAAAACCCCACTATCTTCCCAAACTACCCTTAAATACACCCCAAACTAAAAAAATAAAAACTAAAAGAGATTTTCTATTTAAATCCCACAATTTTCTTTGTTCTCAGCAAACAAAAACACAAACAAATGAAACCCCAAATCTGAAATTTAATATTTCCTAGAGAAAGAAAACAACTTTACCTTTCTCCAAGAACTATAACTGAAATTCTAACACTTGGGTATTGTTGAGTTGAGAGAGAGAGAGAGAGAGAGAGAGAGAGAGTTTGTAAACAAAAACAGGAAGTTGGAAGAAGGTTTTTAAAACTTAATATAAAGAGGGGTGTGGTGTGTGGGGGTGTGTGTATAGATGTACTAGGGTTAATTATTAAGTTGGATGACCTTTTTTGTCTTTTTATACAATAATAAAACTTACATCTTAATGATTTAAGTATTAGGGTGAACAAAGAGAAGTGCGGGGTTTAAATAGAAAATCTCTTTTTTTTTTGGGCGTTTCAATGAAGAAATTATCTGACAAAAACAAAAAGGGAAAATTACATTTTACCCCTCCAAATTTGCACTCATTGTCAATTTAGGGGAGTATATTCAATTGAGATTTTAACAGATTGTAATTACATGATTTTAATGTAATGGATTTCAATCGGATTTGTAATTATATGATTTTATTTATGATTTTAATAGATTGCAATTACATGATTTTACTCATGATTTTATTAACTTAGGATTTTACTTATGATTTTAATAGATTACAATTATAGGATTTTACTTTATATTTCTATGGGAGCATTTTGCTCACCACATTAACCAAATGTGTATGCTCACCACCACCCTTAAAAGGTGTCTGCCTCATCCTTCTCAGAATCTCTTCTTCTCCAACACACTAGTACTAGTAACCAACCATCCACACCAATCAAAAATCAAAGAGGCAAGCTTTGAGCTTTGAAATTGGGAGTAAGACTAGGAGCAAGAAATTCCGTATTTTCTTTTGTTAGATTTTGATTGATTCATAATTGGTGGTTTATTGGATTTGGAAGATTTTAGTTTTGGGTTTAGGGGTAGCCAAATCATATGGAGGAAGATGAGATGGATTAGTTGTTTGAAGGGATGATGTTGTTTACCCCTGACAATACCAATAATAATCACTATGTCATCTTAAGAAAAGTGGTGGTTGTTTTTATGGGGGAAAAAATGGTGGTTTACAATGAGGAAGAGAGGAGAGTGTAGGAAAGAAAAGAAAGAGGGTTCAGGGGAGGGAGGAGGAAAGAAAGAAAGAAAAAGAAAAAAAAATAAAAAAAAAGGAAGAGGGAAATGAGGAAAAAGGGGGAGTGTGCTGTGATGTGGGCCCTTTATTGTTTCTCTTATGATTTTTTTTATTTTTTTATAGTAAAAAGCATGAAAAAATAGTGGGGAAAAAAAAGTATGAGAGAATATATGAGAATCATGCATAGGAGGGTGTGATTTGTTATGTGGATTGGTATGTATATTACACACTCAAAAATCTCACACAATACACCATATAATGAAATACATTAAAATCAGTAAGTATTTGAATACCACAATACTTTTTCTTAATTTTTAAAAGTCCTAATTGAATACTACCAGACTTGTGCTGATTATTTAAAAATCTTAATTGAATACCACCAGACTTTTATTGATTACTTAAAATTCCTAATTGAATACTCCTGTACTTTTAAGCTTCAAAATAATCTATTAAAATCACAATTGAATACACCCTCCTTAATTCCTCATTGTCAACCATGCATGTATAAACCAACAAATTCTAGCACCTCACTTCTCCCTGGCTACTATTTCAGGCCAGCCTCCGGCCAAACACCATAAGGAATGTTCTCCGGTTGGCCAACTTCGACAATTGTGACCAACTACCATCTAAATGCGGTGATTGCCGCAGTCAACCTCCAACTCCAACCACCATTTAGTCATTGACAAACAGTATAACTAACTAATACACTAAAATGACTCTTGTGACTAAATTGACTTTTAATAATATTTGTACTTAAAATGTAAGGTCAATTTTTACAAAGATTCATTTTTAGTCAAATTAACACTCGATTTGACCCAAAACACTTGTGGCCTCAAAATCTGCATAAATAGAGTCGATCAAAAATTGAATAGCTCATCTCTCAAATAGCTCCAATTCACACTCAATGAGTTCTCTTAATCAAATGTTTTAGACTAGGCAAGAAATTTCAAATTCCAGTATCTCATCTCTCAGATAACAAAAGACTGATGTGGATTCATCGTCTTTGTAACATGAGTTTTCATTTTAAGGGCAAGGCCCCAAGTCCCCATGGTACCCGTGTGTGTGACTTTTTCCCTTGCCCTTTCTAACTTTGACAAAAAAAAATAATAATAAAATTATGTCATGTGCTAAGCTTTTTTTTTTTTTTTTTGGTCAACTGTCATGTGCTAAGCTTGACAAACACAACCATTGTGTAAAAATATTCCTCCACTCCACAGCAAAATGGCAGGGTTTCGGAATGTGCCTATATAATTGCTCCTCTTTGACGCTACCATTTTCCGAGTTCCTTTTACAGCTGGTGCTTGTGCCACTCTTTTAAGATTCTCTCAAAAGCTAGAAACTACCATCCCTGAGGCCTAAATCTTTTAACAGTTTGTCCCTATCCTATCAACCCAAGATCCCTAATCCCTCTCCCAATACGAAAAATGAAGGGAATGAAATTACTTGCATGGTTTTTGTTCATCTCATGCTCTCATGCCCTATCAAGCTTGGCTCTCAAAGGCTTCTTCAAGTTAGAATATGATAAAAAAGGTGCTAACCTCTCAAGGCCTATTGGACAAGGACAAGACTTTCATGGTAAGAATTCCTTTATATTTGCAAATGATTTAGTTTTTTGTTGCGCTAAATATACATTTTATAGTAGTGAGGCATACAGGTGTAGACCGCGCGGTCAAGCTATGTGGAGAAAAATATGAAATGGATGAGCCAAGGAAGATCCAAAAAGGGAAAGGGGGAGTTTATGGGGGTGCAAATATTGCTCATAAGCCACGCCCAAATGAGAGAAGTAGTGCACCATCATTGCTAGCAAGGCCCCAACATCCCTTTCTCTTCACTAAAACCAGGTTGCAAGTAACCTTTGCTTTGATTCTTATTCTTCTCTTTCAATTGCTCTAACAAGTTTCCATTCGATCGGAAATTTGTATTGAATATGTAGCTTTGGTTTGTCAGTTGTGTGTTCTTCTCCCTTTTTCTTTGGTGTTTTACCTCTTCGTGGCTGATTTTGAGCTTTCCCTTTGAGTGTCCTTGGAAGATCCTTTGATACCTAGTCTTTTTATAGGATTATGACACCCTTACTTATAATTAAGATTGTAATTTGATGAGTGTTGACTTTTTTGTTGCTAAGTTTTCAGAAATTGCTTGTGAGCTTGTACCAGGATTATTGTGCTATTCTTGTACTTTCTCTTACTAAATTGGTTGTGCTTGTGGTGTGATTTATGTTTATGTACTCTCTCTCTCTCTCTCTCTCTCTCTCTCTCTCTCTCTCTCTCTCAGAATAATGGGCAATTATAAACAGGACTTCAACACATTTCCTTGTTGCAGAATTATCATCTTCCACCAATTTGGAAAGAAATGAGCTCCTCAAAGAAAAACCGAAGAATCAAAAAGATGTTAAGAGGATCAATAGCCTGAAACATAAGTGTTGTTATGAGGTGTATATTATTATAGCAAGATGACACTCTTGGTTTTTGCAAGGCATTGCAAACATGTTTGAGTTGAAATTAGTCCCACATTGGAAAACTAGAGTGGTCTTTATAAGACTTACTTTTGGAATAAAATAGTTTAGATTAGGCTATGCAAGTGGCCCAATTGAGTGGCTTGTGATTTCGTCTTTTGGGTCAATGCCTAATTAGTTAGCTCAATGATTAATTAATTTATATATATATATATATATATAATATATTTAATTAATCAAAAGATGGGCCTTGGGCATTTTGAGCTATGTGATTTAAAATTAAACCCAATTAATTAATTTAATTTAATTAATTCCAAGTTAATTAATTAATTATTTGAATTATTATTTTTTAAACACATCAAAAACACAGATATCATTCAAAGTCATCATTCATGTTCATAGCTTGAGAGAAACACACAGATTTCGCCATAAATCAAAGCTCTAGTGCTAGGACTTTGATTTTAGATAGTTGTATCTTGATAGAGCAAACGCCTGCAGAACTACAAGCACTGAGTAGGGGTGAAATTCTGTTTCAAGGACATTGCAATTTGCAAGCCTCTATTTGAAAAACCAGTCAGTTTTTATTTTACTGCCTTTTTTAATTTCGTGATTTTATTTATTATTGAATTTAATTGTTAAATTAAATTATTAGTGTAATACTGATTGTTGTTCCTCATGGAAGTCAGTGGGGCTATCCTTGAGAAATTGAGGAAACACATATACAATCTTGTATGATTAAAATTCTTGGCAGAGGAAAATATTGATTGTAGAAGGATTATAGATTAAGGCGGATGCCTGTAATTCGGTGTTAATCCTGAAATGTAAGGAAGGAGTGAAGATCTCTCTGAAAATGGAAAAGGATTTAAGTGTGAATCAACATGACCTAAGCTGCACTAATTAAGCTAAACTTCCACACCAAAGCACTTAAATGACACACTAATTGACTGTTCTGTTGAGTAATGTGCTCTGCTCTGTGCCTCACAGTTGTGCTGTGGTGTTGAACCTTTTTACACTCTCAAATATAAGTTTAAGCAGACACTAGTATGCCAACGGGGTCTAGCTCTATGGAAAATGGCATTGACTTGCAGAATAGTGGTCTGTGTGTGTGTGAGAAAACCCTCATTCCCATATAGTTTGGACTATCGCTTATAGTAAAAAAAGCACAAACTAGTATAGTTCTTTTAGCTATGCTAATGCAGTTTCCACAATATATAAGAAATAAAACTACTACTGTTCTTGCATATATATTTGCATAAAACAAGAATTTCCAAAACTTGTACCAGTTTGTAGTTTTAGCACAGGCAAATATTCTTTATGCAACCTCTGTGATTTAACAAAATTAAACTTACTGTAAATTCAATATCAATGAGTAATACAATTGTTGTCAAAGTCCTTAAATGTATACAACAATGTCCTATTTCAGACATTAGTATTCCCACTGACATAAACCATGTATGAGGAAAAGAGCACTCGGAAAGACCATATCAGAAAAATATGGCAAACCTGAACATGACCTGCCCGAAGTAATTCAAGCTGGACTAAATTCATCAGGCATGTCGGTTCCTTATATGTCGTATAACAACTTGGAAAATGATTTCATATGTTCAGATTGAAGAGATATGGCCACTGATAAACTCCCATCATTAGTTGCACTTGGTATTACGAAAGCCAGCCCCTCAAATGCAATTCCACCAGGTCCCATGAAAATGGGTCGACCCCAACCAAAGTCAGCATCATGGATCGGCAGCCTAACCCAGCTAGTTATCCCAAGATTAGGGCACCTAAAAGAATGAGCACCGCGAACAAGGGCTGACAGATCAGGCTGAAGCTCGAGATAGTCTAGAGCCGATCTAAGATAGTTATCATCCATACGAACCAAAGCATCATGAATGCGGCTTGCTGCGAACCATGTTGGTTTTGATTGGAGATCCCCTGCAACAGCAATGGGTGTTGCTGTGAAAATCACATTGCCAAAGTAACCAGGAGGGAGTGGGGGTTGCAGTCTGGATCTTCCATCAGTGGCAATATATAGTTTGGTGTCTTGATCATTGGGAAGTTCGCGTGCCTTGCATACACATCTCCAAATATGACCCGCCATCATCTCATATGAGCTATAGCTGATTGTGTTCCCAGCTTCCTTGGACTTGGCTTTCAAGATGTTGAGCTGCTCCCGCGTCAATCTAAAAATGGAGACTGTTGTGCTATCAGCGCCAGGTTTTGTGCTTTGCAGAGGGGTTTTCAATGGTGGAGCAGGTTGGTATTCGATGTGGTGGAATGCAGGCTGCGGTGGATCTCGGGCACGAAGTAATGTCCTGTCAATGAACGGCGGAAGTGTAAGATCAAGGCCGCGAGCCATATCAGACCATGTGTTGACAAAGTGGAGACCAGAAAATCCATCTGCTGCATGATGCTGCATTCCAACACCAAGGGACACTCCTCCACATTTGAAGTATGTGACCTGCAAAGAGCACCATACCTTGTAAGCTCAACTCTTCAACAATTCCAATTGGTCAACTGGTTGAAACATTCAGTGTTACTCAACAGACTGTTAGCAATTGATCACCAAGAATCATGCAACCAAGTCCAGAGGGTGACATATTCAAACAATCATTCAATATTATTTCACTTGAAATGTTCAGCAAATATTTAGTCTCAATAATAACTTCTCAACAGCACATTTTTCCTATTAAATATTTTTTTTTTTTGAACTTTCACTATTTTGACGTCTGAGACATGATTGCTTAGACATTATATTTAATAATATCACACATCTGACTTTATCCTTTGAAAAATTCTAGCAAGGGACATCAAATCCATAGAGTTTTATTTTATTTTATATTTTATTTATTTAAGAATCCGGAGACTTTTTAAAGCTAGTTTTCAATAGTTTCCTGAATGGAAATTACCCTGATGTGTAAAATTAGTTTTCTAGACTTGACTGTATTATAATGTAGCTAGGAAATTAATAATTGGTTGGAATGTGACAAAACTTAGAAAATAATTGTCGTGAAATGTGAGCAAAGTTAGAAAATAACTGTTGTGAAATGTGACCAAACTTAGGAAATAATTGTCGTGAAATGTTACCAAACTTAATTCTTTTATACTCTTCATCCGCCTATCGCCTTCGCTTAAAGCCAAAAGTCCCGTGTCCTCTCACCAATCGAAGGAAAAAAAGCCGCTAATCCAAAATCACACCAAATCACTGAGTTAAACCACATTTCCTAACCACCTTGATCCATCAATTAGATTAGATGTGTACTTCACCTAACATGGTAACGATGTGAACACATTTTTCATAGGTGGGACCCACTTGTGTATGTAAATACCTATGAGTTCCACTTGCATGAGTGATACAGTCCATGTATGTGACAAACAAGTACAGAGAACAATTATCTACACAAATCAATAGCTATGAATCACTCACGTGTGCATACATACGGCCGAATTTAAGCCGACTTACGACCTAGTAAATGCAATGTATATAGTAGGTCAATACATTTGATCATTAGTTTTCTACCAGAACACAAAAGTGCTACAGGTTGACCAATTGATGATATAGACATTTTGTTTGAATAGGTCCCCGTTCCCTCCCAAGATTTTTCTCTTTTTTAAAATTATTTTATTGTTATATACGATAATACGAACATTCATCAAAACAACAACATCAATACGATAATATGAACATTCCAAAACATTACAGGAAAAAAAATAATTAAAAAAACCATCAATACAATTTATACCTGTAACACCAAGAGAGCATATGAGGATATCCCAGCGGAGTAATCAACGGCGGGGATGAGCCTCCGGAGCTCGAGAGTCGGCGCAAAATCGCCGAAATCATCGATGACCGAGCTCGTCTCGGCCTCGACAAACAGCACCCCTTCCCCGTTGCAGTCGATCTCGATACGGCCGTCGTCGTCGCGCTTGAGGCGACCGGCCATGGGGTAGAAGGGCACGAGGGCCTTGGACAGGGCGAGCTTGAGCACCGCCGGGTCGAAGAAGTTCGACGACGCACCGTTTTGGTTGGGCCTGTAGAAGTAGACGCTGGGCGTGTGGATGCTCGGGATCACCAGGTCCACGTTAGAGTTCCACAGCGCCTTCCTCGGCGTCTCCGCCGCCGGCTTAACCAGCGTTGTCTCCCTCACGCTCACGTTGACCACCATCTTTTGGCGCGTTTCCTTCTTTGGGCCCCACCGCCTGGCTCACCTGCATACCACCCAACACACACACTTTTAGCATTTTATTTTAAATTTTGGATTTGGCTCCTGGGCTAACGTGCGCCGTCCTCGGGGTATAATTAACTAGAATCCAATCTCTTTCCTTTTCCGGTTTCTTTCTTCTTTTCTTTCATACGCGCTGGCTGGTGCACCACCAATCTAGCCGCTTGGGCTAAACGTGCTCCGTCGGATTTAATAAAAGTTAAAAAATCCCTCCTCTTTCCTTTCTCGCGTTATGTTTTTTTCCGCTACGGATCTCTAGCCATGGTCAGCCTAGTCTTAAAATGCGCCGGTCCGGCTAAAATCCACCATTACTACTAAAATGCACTGAACCGTTGAGGCTAAAATGCGCCGTGCCGTTCTGGCGAAAATGAGAAATAGAGGAGAATGGAAT